GCAGGAGGGGAGCCCTGACCTGACCTCAGCAGTGCCAGCACAAAGCCAGTGCCCAAGAGCTTCCACCCACGGCCCAGACGGACATAACTGGGTGGTGGAAGTGGCTTCTGACATAACCCTGACTCCCAAGCCGTGGGAGGCATGGGCTCTGAGGACTTGTACACTGCTGGATTGCATTTGGGAGCTGACTTCTGCATTTATGATGGGGAAAAAAAAAATCCACCCATATTGAAAAATGATGGCAAAAAAGGTCATTCGAGTTTTGAAGTAAATCTTCCAGGATGGGTTGAGTTAAAACTCCGTCCTCTCTGTGGGGACTCAAATAACATTTAGGCAGAGCACAGATGACATGATGCGTGCCTTGGTATGCATTTCGACTGAGAAGTGCAATTCTCCGTGCAATTAAGCAGCTGGGATAAGTGTCCCTGCAGACAGAATTTGTTCTTACCTCATACCAAACATCTGAGCAGGTTGATGACGGTGTTTCATGCCTGGCAATGCAAACCGTGAGGTGAGAAAGGAAAAACTCAGATGACTGATTCCTCTGAACACGTGCTGAGCTAAAGATGGTGATTGAAGCCTGCTGAAGGTTTCCATGCCTTTTGTAATCGGTTACGAGTAAACTAGGAGTGCTGCAGAGCCGGGGCAAGCGGCAATGCAGGGCTGGGTAGGAGGAGAGGTGGATGGCAATGCGGGAACAGGTCAGCAAGGTCAGCCCTGTGCAATGGCCTCCCTGTAGTCCCTGGGACACGTCTGAGCATCGCCCACAGGTCCATACATTAGGTTTGGCTCTCTCAGTATACAGTTCAGGGCTGAAGTATAAGCAGAGGTTTCAGTGGAGGTCCTATGGGAAGACAAGCAGGGGTAAATCCTTTGGAGCAGTGATGTCAGGGAGTCGCATATGCAGCCACCAGAGGCTGAACTTCTTTCTGTGGCTTGAACGCCATGACCTGCGATGTGCTGTCACTCCAGGGTTGAGTTTATTTAGTTCTCCTGAAGTTCAGGAGAAGTGTCACAGAAAACCCGGGGCAAATCATACAAACAGAGTAGACTCCAGCATGATTTTTCTGAGTTTTTCATAGGGGAACAGGATAGTGGTCATCGCAGGACAAATTTATCTGCCCTATTCTTTTCCAGCTCATCAACAAACAAAATCCATATTAAAATGACCCTAAAATGGTGACTTTCACACTTGTAAACTGGATATTGTGAAGCCAGGGAATGAGAAAAGTACTGCACACTTTATGCCACAATATAATTTGTAACATCTCTCCCTCTCTTCCAAAATATGTACTGACACTTTAAAGCATGTCACAGAGTATTTAATTTTTCTGTAGAGACTCAAACATCTTAATATTCAGTAAACCATTTTTATGTACCACTGAGCTGGCTGAAAAACAAGGGGGGGGTTCCCTTTGGATTGAAATAAGGCAGAGGATTTCAGGTTCAGCTGATTAGAGTCAAGCTTTTGTTAGTCTTGAAAGTTTGTTCATCCTTTCAGATTTAAAATATGGTAATTTGTAGGGTATGCAGTACATTCACTTTACTGTAGCCAAAATCACGACATTGAATAATGATGGTAAAGAAAGTATCTCAGAAAGAAAGCAAGATAATATCAGAACACCACTAGTGACTTTGGTGATGATAAGCAAGCTTTTACAATTCAATGAGCTTCATCTAACAACCCATTTGTTTCAGTGACATGCCCAGTTATTTAGACTCGTGTGGATACATGGGTGGTTTTTGCATTTTCTAGCTCTTTCTGCATACACATATATAAGTCTAGAAAATTAGGTACCTTTTCCAGAGGCTTTTAAAATGCTCTCCTACTCTGATACTGTCTTACTTTGGTATTGTCCTATCTGGTTTGTTTCTACAAAGCAGCTCCTGCCAGACATATTTTGAGTTAGTTCCAACTTTCGTTGCAATGGGAGGGGGCTTACTGGCACAGCCAAAGCCTCTGCTATAGACAAATTTAATTTATCACAGCAAGAGCAGGAGGAGTTCCTAAACCATCACATTTGAAGAAATTTCATGATTGTCCAAAACCAGCAAGCTCTGGTTGAAGTCCAAGCCCACCTTCTGAAAACCAGGCATTAGCTCATAAAATAATAGATGGTGTCTCTTAAGGGAAGCACCAACTATCAGAATTTTGGCAAGAGTGTTAGAAAGAAGAAAATATTACTTAGGGATCAGATCTGATGGCTAAGACAATTAGGTTGATTAAATGTCAAACTGTTAAGAGTTTTCTGTCAAAACACTCCTTACCCAGGGTAGGAACTTAGATAAGTTGGTGTATACTCCATATTTCCCTCACTTTCCGCACCCTTCTCCCCAGCTGATGATACCAGTAACAAAATAAGTGCCATTGTATTTGGTTACATGGGGGACTCCTCCATCTCCTCCATCATCTTTATCATAACCATCACAGAACATATCTTTGGTGTTTTCTTTCTAAGAAGGGTGAGCTTGCAGGTGTCCCTGCCCACATAAGAAGGGATTTGAAGCATTTTAATTCTTTTGACCGGCCATGCACAATCAAATGTGTTCCCAAAATCACTGACAATTCCAAATGTCTGGTTCATCAGAATGTCAGTAGCAAAGTCTTCTTCTGGAAGGCATGCTGGGACAACATCCTCAGAAAATGTGATAGGTTCCTCTAAGTTGAGAAGGACTATGTCGTTGTTGAAAGTTTCTGTATCAAATTCAGCATGTGCAATTAATTTTTCTGCTCTGTGCATTGCTCTGTTTGGCTCTTCCTTTCCTTGTCCACCATCACCTTGTCCATCATCTGTGTCAGATTATTAAAGTAGTTGTTAATAAGACAATACCAACAAGTCTAAACTGCATCTCAATAAAAGAAGGAACCAAAGCTCTTTATACTTTTTATAGGCATTGTACTGTACAAATAAAATAGACCAGGCCTGTGTCCTGACACTGTAGCGTTTTATACCCATTTTGGAGGGGTTTAGAGGGCTGCCAAAATGCCAAGCAAGTAGAAAATCCAAACTTTGCTATCAGAATAACACTCTCAATGAAAGTTTTGATATAAAGTTTTGGGTTTCATTACAATATTCCCAATGGCCCCCTTACAGTATACAACCAAAAGCCTCAACACAGAAGAGAAGGATCTTGCCCCTCATTGTAGAGCAACATAGGCAAACAGACTTAAACAGGAAATGGATATTCATTTTCTTTTAAAACTTTAACCTTCTGCATACAAAATTTTACGAGTTTGTATATATTTAGCCTTTCTCAATTTGTACGAAGTCTCTTTGGGAACTAAATGGACAGACAATTGGACTTCAGGCAAACAGAATTTTTGCTTTACTGTTGTAGGCTGAATACAAATTTTTTGACTCAGAACACCATTTTTCAGTGCCTAGAATTTGTGATAAACTACTTTTTCATAAATGACAGCAATAAACAATAAGTTTGAGGTTTCAAGTACGGAACAGTCTCAGACTAGTATCTCCATGCTGTCAAAACAGTTATTGCTAACATCTGAATGAGGCATCTGGAATTCTTCAAGGTTTGGCCAACACAGAAAATTGCATGAAGGTGTGATTTTAGACCAATTTAACTACATCAGCTCACCCTTACTTGCCCACATATCTTTCCATTTTTTACCTGGCTTCTATCATATACAAGCTACATTAGGCCAAGCCAAGCTTAAAGAAACCGTCCATTCAACAAAGTTGAACATGTATTTCACTATTAGTCAAGGGACAACATGGGGCAGCGAGCAGTACCAAGAGGGTAAGAAAAACTCTGGCAGAGTTCACTGTCTTGCCTATGGAGACTTCAACACAAGACAGTTTCTTGCTACAGAAAGTAAAATACTTGTTCAGAATGGTCCCCCCACAAAACCATTCATGGTACTCATCTGCTAGTAGAACAGCCTGCAAAGAGAAAGAAGAAAGATAAAGCACAAAAACATATGTACAGAGAAATCCTGGAGAGCCAGCTGAGATTCAAGCAGTGTTCTTAAAGTAGACGTTTTCATAAGTATTTTCCGTCAAAGGCATCCTTCATTCAGAGGTGGTTAGGGTTACACTGAGATGCAGCCACCACAGCGGGAAACTTGTCAGGACAGACCTTTTGCCTGGCTCAAAGTGGATTCTGTGAATCCAGTTAATTTACCAACAGGTTTTGTTGTTGTTTTTTAAACAAAATTTAGGTAATGTTGTAACAGCATTGTTCCTGCTTGGGGGTTTTTGTTTTACTTAAAGTCTTGGCCACAACAGGAACTCAGGCTATTCTTCTGATAAGGCCATGCTGCAATCCGGGGCAGCTGGCAGGGAAGGGGCCCCGTGGCTCACCCTTGCTCTGTGTCCCGTATCTGCAACGCTACTTCTCTCCTGGCCTCCCCCTCTCAGCATTTGCTTGATGCTGAAACGGAGGCACAATATCATCCATGGTAGGAGACCTGTGCAGAAATACAGTACTCGGGAGAGTGGAACGACCACCCAAAATGTTGACACCGGGGATGACTGTCTCAAATCAGGCTAGGATCCCTTGGCAAGTCGGGAGGTGTGTGATGAAGAGTAAACAGCTGTTGGTCCTGGTGAGCAGGGTCAAAGTGTTCAACATCTCAGGACAAGGGCACCTTACCTGTCACAGGGATGCGCTGGATAAACTGGCAGCCTCCCTGGTGACCTCTGGATGGCTGCTTGAGGTCTTGGTCGTTTCCTCATTTTCATGAGGATGAGCATATGGACTCACTGTGGTTCCTGTGACTTTCAACCAGCTTCATGATTTCTCTAAAGCTTACCACACAGGAACTTGTCTGCAAAGACAAAATGAAAACACTAATACCTGATGTCTGGATGGTACTGGGACATTGAGGCACACGTTACATACTGAAAGCAAGGTGTTCCCATCCATAAGCCTGAGCAAACAGCTGTGAAGGCTCAGCTGCTGTTACCAGCCTTCACGTTAGCTCAGAGCTACTTTTCTTGCTGATTTAAGCTAATTTATAGGATGCGGAGGACCACGGTTTTCCATCTCTATGGGGAACAGCGCCTGTGCTGTCCCTGAAGCACCAAGCCAAGAGACATGCAAGGGTAGCAACCTCCAGCAGAGCAGAAGGAAGGCCAGCTGCTGGTGAAAACAGTTTCTGCCACCAAAGTGCCATTCAATAGAGTTTGTCTGACAGAGCCCTTGGTGCAAAGGACAGTTTCATGGTCAGAAAAGCAAATTTAGCTTCCAGTGCACCTTGGAAGTGTTGCTCTTCACCACAAGAAATTATTCAAACCTGCTGGAACATGGGTTTTGCAGTCAAAAGCAGCCTTTAGAGTTACAGATAGGTACCTATAGCAGAGGGAAATGGTTTGCAGGGAAACAGGTCACCTTCAGGGAATCAACTCTTCATGAAAATGAGAGAAAACTCACTTAGCAGTTCAAGGAAAACTCCTTGACAGCAGCCTTTCACAATCGAATTAAGTATGCGGGTGTCCTTATCAGGGGTGGCTCCGCTAGATTTTTCAAGACATTAACAAAAACTTTGCAAATGCAAAAGGGCCAGAATGGTTGAAAAATAAAAATCGTTTTCCGCTTCTAAAACTTGCTAATTTTGAGCAAGTGGGCAAATGGGTTCAGTGTTTTCAAGGTATTTAAATGTTAGGCATCTTCTGTTATTGGCATCATTATTTTTGTATAGCTACTGTTATTAAATCTTTTGTAATTGGGAAACAGAGCAAAGTATTCTATGTGAGGAATTAAAGGCTCATGACAGCAATTTGGTATTAAATTGCAAAGGACATTATAACAAATATCATCAGACAGACAGAAGAATAGACCAAGATTAAGAACTGTTAATGTTCTCTTTGAACACAGACAAAATTGATGGATCTAAATTCAATGTCAGTAGTTCTTCATGTCTGTATGTTTCTATATGTTAACTGCAGAAAACCTGCTTTTAGAAGAAAATAGAAAGGCAGGTTGTTTTCCTTTTAAATGGAAGAGGTGGTATTTGAGGGGAAACAAGTGAGATGTAACTGCAGTGACATTATGTCGTTACCACTGAAATTGTAACGAGTCCTTGTGAACCATATATTATAAAGGGAAAAGTTTCTTGCGTTCCTACTCGTTTGGATCTGTAGGTGTCCAGCACAAGCTGGAGGCCTTGAAAACATACACCAGTTCTCACCAGTGATAAACGTAACCCGTTCCTTTCTAACAAAATCTGCTAAAGCGTGAGAGACCTGTTTCAGTCTGTGAGAGAAGAGAAATCAGAGCCCCGTTGTAACCACCAGTTTCTCATATGGCTTCGTACCTGCTGGGACGTGGTTTTCGCAGTCCACTCTGAGAACGCACCCACTCGCACAGAACACCTCCGTGCGCTATTTTTGCCACTGCACATCGCTCACAGTTGCACAATTTGATGTTACTTAAATTATGACCTTTAGCTAAGACCTTACTAGTGTTGTTGGCAACATGTCTAGCAAGTCATGTGAAAGGTGTGAACAGTCAACGTTATTCCTTATGCCTACAGCACACCAGCGCTTCCCAAACGTGGCAAAGATGTGATGTGTGTCCCACAGAATGAACTTGAAGTGTGGCTTCATACCTACAGGAACACACGTTTTGTTGTCATTGCCCAGGGCATAGCCAGCAGAGCAGGGACATATGGCTCCTTTGTCTGCAGGTTTGCAGAACTGCTCACAGTTCCTGCTGTTGCCCTTGCACGCATTTGGCATGGCTGCAAAGGACACAAATGTATAGGCAGGTTACAAATTCATGGTGATTTCACAGAAGCACAAGCCCATCATTTGAGGAAATTCTGTGCAATTCCTGCCAAAGGCCTTAGTAATAACAACAGTCGTGTCTATCATTATTTAAAAAATGGTAAGCTGTCAACATCAGGTAGGCTGCTATTATTTTACATCTTATGCTGTGTTTCCCAGCTATAACTGGCAGCTCTTTGAGAGCAAAGGAAGGGATAATCCGTACTTGCCAGAGCAGCCATCGTACTAAGGCAAAGATGAACATGGGTTCATCAGTATCAGTAATAAATTAAGCATTGGACTCTTGGTCGATCCTTGCAATATTCCTTTTCCATCCGTATATGGCTCATACTACTAACTTTAGCTGAGTCCCGGCATTGCAACATCACAGGCAGAATGGGAGAGCTCTTCCCAGCACTAACACTGTGAGAGCAAGGAGAGGTAAACCAGTCCTAACAGATGCTGTCTAACCTGTTCCTACAGATTCACAATGAGATTCTGCAGTGCACTCACATAACCTAATCTTCTCCTTAACTAGCCTTATAACATCTAAAAAGTGTTTCCTAATATCTCACCTGAGTGTCCCTCAGTGTGTTGTGATCCCATTACTTCTTGTTCTAGCTATTCATCCCAGTGAAAATGGAGGCTTCTTGCTTTTATCCCATATTTTACAAATCTCCTTGGTTGTGTACTGTGGGACTGAGGGTGAAATTTTGTTTTTGTGTTTACTGGATTGCCTGTTATTTATGTTGGGCCACTGTTCCAGTTTCACAAGACTGTCTTGAACTCTCATCTCAACTTACGGCCGTCCTTCCAGTCTGGAATGAGCTACAAACGCAGTGAGTAAACACTCTCTTCCGCCTTGCATGTCACCGTGGAAAATAGCAAGTTTCGGAGGTCCTCAGGCTCACCAGTGTGGAGCCCTGCACTCCATACAAGCTTTCAACTGACCAGCACAGTTTCCCAACCAGACGTGCACCAAAATTAACAGTCGTTTCATCCAGACCAGTGTTTCTATTATGATAAAAGCACGATATAAAATGATGTTAGAAGCCTCCCTTAATGGAGAGACCTGACATGTATGGCACCTCTTGCAGCCACCCAGCCTGTTATCCTGTCCTTGGAGAAGATTGATGTGATTTGTTCCTGACAAGTGCAGCTCAGCAGTTTCTTTCCTCCTTGTTGGACACAGTAATCTGGTACCTTAAGGAATAAAGATTTTCTTCTCCATTAGGAACAATCATTTTCCTTGGTCTCTCTTCCAGTATCCATATACTTAGATCAGCTCTTGATTTTCACATCATGTTTATCTTATCGTATTTGCTCCTTAGCTTCTCTGGGCTTATGTCAGGATGTTTGCAATTCTTTCACACTGATCCAGATTTTTCTATACTTCCTTCTGGAGGTCAGGTCATGAAGGAGCTCATATTTTTAATTAACTAACTCCCCTGTCCTTTCTTGACCTTGGGACAGTTTGGACATGTGCCTTAAACACTTTGGGATTTTGTGGTTTTTTTCTTTTAAAAACACATTACTTTTACTCTCTTGTTCTTTCTCTTGACTTCCTTCATGAGCTCTGTTGTTTTACAGTCACTTTTATTAAAGCAATCTTCTGTCTTTGTATTATCAGCCACTTCTAGTCTGTTGGTAAAATTAAATGTAGATTAGCACACTCCAAATTGCTTTCTACATATCTGTGAGAGAAAATTCTACCTGAAGCATCCTGAAGACACTCAGGGCACCCCTTCTCCCACTAAGCACCTTTCCCACCTCATCTCTAGCATGTCAAAATCATAGAATCGTAGAATGGTTTGGGTTGGAAGGGGCCTTTAGAGGCTGCCTAGCCCAACCCCCTTGCAGTGAGCAGGGACACCTTTATCTGGATCAGGTTGCTAAAATCTCCCTCTTACTCCCAGCTCTTGTAATGTGGGTGACTCAGGTGTTTGTTCGGTTGTAGCCAGCCAGTCCTCTCTAATCACTGAATGACTTTTACAGCAAAATTAAACAACAAGGCATGCATCATGGCTGCAGTATGATTCACACACTTACTCTGTAGAAAAGCATCTCGGGCTCCAACCTCAAAGACAGATGGGACGCTTCCTCAAGTGGAGATGTGATGTTTGTGTCGAGATTTAGACAAGTACAGTGAATGATGTTGTGGGGTTCTTGTTCCCCGTCTGCACTGTTAAACCTTGTGGCGTTCATTTTGTCACCCAATAGCTTATGAATGGATAGTAAGGATTATTTAATTATCAAACCTCTTAAGGACATGAAGAATAGCACATCGTTTGTGCTGTCCGTTTGAAAGCCCTGCATGCTGACGTATTAACTGCCTATTTCACACTGGCACAATTGTTTCAGTCCAAAATGGTATTCCCCCAATGACTAAGCCCTGGGTATTATTGCACTGCGGGAGACAAATGGGAGCAATGCGGGTGAGAAAGCAAAGCTACCAGGTTTCCACTCATGTCACTCTGGTCCACAAAGCACAAATAATGGCAAATAATTATCTGTGTGGTTTAGGCAAAGCAGCGCAAAGCCAGGTTAAAGCAAAGGCTGTACCTGTCTGCACCACCCAAAGGCAATGGAGGAGAATGGGGAGAAGTCGCATTGTCCCGCGATGACCTGCCATTGCCACCCTCCGAGCTCACTGTGCGTCTCCCACCGGTTTCTCTGCAGGGCTCTGGGGCAGCTGCAAAATGAGAAACACCACAGTGCAAAGGTTGTTAACTCATGAGGAAACGAAACCACTAAGAGCAATGCCTGGGCTCAATGTCAGCATGGGACAATGTTAAAACAGAAAAAAGCCACCATGCTGCAGCAATGCCACCCTGAGGCAGGCACCTCATGTTGGCAAAGAGCCTCTCTCCTTCACGGGCAGCATGGAGCTGGGTTTGCCACAGGGGCTGTGACATCTGTGTATTTCAGACTCCTCCAGAAGAGGGGAGTCCATAAACCAAGGCAGGTTCTGCCTCAGCAGAATAACATGTGGTTACATGGTTAAACTCGGTTATGCTACTGAAACTCCAGATTGCCTGACTGCCACTTGGTGATTTCTTCTGCAGGACCATGGTCTACTGCTGTCTCCTTTCTCCCTATCCGCTGCAGGTGGCTTTACATCTTCAGGAAATATGATCAAAACCTCCCTAAAAGAGCTTTACTAGCCAGGTAACAAGGAGCTTGAGCACTTAAGTGATCTGTTGTCCACGCCTAAGGAAGACAGAACAGCCAGAGCCAGAGCTTTGTGCATCCCACAAGCTGGTTGGAAGCAGGAAAGCGCCTCATAAGTGAGGAGTAGCTCAGGGCACCAAATTTGCAGAGCTCAGTAAGTGTATTGCAAAGATGTTGCCTCCCAGCTCTGGTAGTGCCTTAGGAAGCAAGTAAAGCACCAAGCTAATCAGAACAAGAAAAAACAAGAGGGAAAATTCAGGGTTTTTTCTGGGCTAGGTCAATAAGGTATTGCACAAGGTTTTGGCCTCTTCTATTCCAAACCACTGTACTTCAAAGTGCTTTAGGAAGGGTGAAACTGATTGTCACACTGGTAGGTGAAGCCTTTGAATCCAGTGGAGCTTGTAAGCAGGTACCCTGCAGAGCTGCAGCAGGCTGGATGGGGCCTTTAGGACATACAGAATCCAGTCTCTGTCACAAGCACCGGGCCAGACCATACTTTCACAAATTCATCAATTTCCACGTTATTCTGGATGGAATTCTTTTTTTTTTTGCCTCTGGCTCACACCACTCCATGGGGACAGCTGTTGACATGGCCTTGTGGTCTGGGGCCATGCCTATAGAAGACAACCCTGTCAGGTGAGTCACCTATGTCAGGGAGCAGTAAAGGGGAAGGAAAACCTTGTGTGTCATTACTGTGCTAGCGCAGGTCAGAAATGTGTGACTGTAACAGCAACCCTTTGCTTGCATTGCTCACCTGGAAGCACAGAAAACAGGGCTTGGCAAGGATCACCCAGCCCAGCTCACTGAGCCAACAAGGGATCAAGTTTACCTCCATTCCTCTTGGCATGTTGACCCCATGCAACGCTACAGGCTTGGCGAAGAGTGGCTGGAAAGCTGCCTGGTGCAAAAAGACCTGGGGGTACTGGTTGACAGCCGGCTGAACATGAGCCAGCAGTGTGCCCAGGTGGCCAAGAAGGCCAATGGCATCCTGGCTTGTATCAGGAATAGTGTGACCAGCAG